AGGAAGGGAGAGAGAGAGAGAGAGAGAAGGAAAGAAGGAAAGAAAGAAAGAAAGAAAGAAAGAAAGAAAGAAAGAAAGAAAGAAAGAAAGAGAGAAAGAGAGAGAGAAAGAGAGAAAGAAAAAGAAAAGAAAAGAAAAAGAAGAAAGAGAAGGAAGAAAAAGAAATCAGGGAAGCCAATGGCTCCAAGACTCTGCACTCATCGGCTCCCTGAACCTTCTGGCACTGATCTCTCCAGACACAGGAGGGCTCTTGGACACTCTCCCTGCCCTCACAGCCAGGGAAATGGGACTAGGGAGCCAGAGACCCAGACCTGGAAACCCAGGCTCTGGCCCTGCCTGTGTCTCTCTCCTGCCTGTGTACCTGCAGTCACGCCTCAGCCTCACCCTGCTGCACTCCCTACCCCATGAGCAGCCCTGCTCTCAAGCTTCCTCCATCCTTCCTGCCAGCCCACCTCCATGCTTCCTGTCCACACCTAGGCCTTATGGAAAAGTTTAGTGAGCAGGTCCCTTGCCAGTACGTCCACTCTCCAGCGTCTGCCTTTATCCTGGCATCAAGGCCTCCCTGCAGCTCAGGTCTCAGTATGGCTGCCCCCTCCTGTGCTCATCAGGGTCCTATTGTCCCTGCAGGCCACACCATCTAGCTCAGCCTCCAGCTCCCACTCTCCAATCTTGTCTACTGCTTCTTCTTCTCTGCCAACTCAGTGCCTGATCCCCATCCAGAAGCCAGGCATCTCAACCAGCAGAGGTATTGTGTGTGAGGCAGGCCGGAGCAAGGCCAGAGATGGAAACAGCACCTGTCAGGCCCCCTTGTCTTTTCCTGCTGCTGACATTCCCACAAGTACACAGGGTGAACCAGGAACAGCAGTGGAGTCAGCTCAGAGAGGCAGGAAGGATGGAGGCTGGCCCACAGGTGGCCTTATGTCTAATCCCCAACCTCTCTTGCTACCCAGTCAGGGGGCTGGTGCTGGGCATGGGTCCTGTGACATCTTCCTCCTCTTCTCTCCCCTCTGCAATCTGTTCTGCTTGGGGCGATGAACTTACCCATAAGGCCTCCAAACCCCAGAGAGATGCATGATGTAAGACTGAGCTCACTGCTCCCTGGGAACCTTGAACCGTTGTCTGTGCCGGGAATCACAGGTGCCTGGCACGACCCAAGAGGTGCTCTGTCCTCAGGCAGCCTGGGCTCCATCCCAGCCCTGCCAGTCACCACCAGTGGCCTCTGCAAGGTACTCCAGATAGGTCCACAAGAGTCCTCTCTAGATGTACATACAAAGAATGAACCACCTCTTGGCCAGAAAGATGGCCCAGCAGGGAAAGATACTTGCCGCTAAGCCTGGTGACCCACGCTCAATCCCCCAAACCCACATGGTGAAAGGAGAAAGCTGTCTCCCTCAAATTGTCCTCGGACTGTCATACACATACTCTGGTACACACGTGTGCATGCAATAAATAAATAAATAAATAAATAAATAAATAGATGTAGTGAATAAATAAATAAATAAATGGATGTAGTGAATAAATAGATGTAGTAAAATGGCTTAAATAATATACAGTCGCATACTCACTTTGTATAAAGGGCTTAGTAACTGCAAGGTATGGTGGTCCATGCCTGTAATCCCACCACTTGGGAGGTGGGGCAGAAGGATGGGAAGTTTGAGGCCAGACTTGGCTACATAAGGAGTGTTGGGCTATCTTGATGTCTTACTTAGGGTTTCTATTGCTGCCAAAATACACCATGATCAAAAGGCAAGTTGGGGAGGAAAGGGTTTATTTGGTTTACACTTTAGCATTGCTCTTCATCGCTGAAGGAAGTCAGGACAGGAACTCAAACGGGGCAGGAACCCAGAAGCAGGAGCTGATGCAGAGGCCATGGAGGGGTGCTGCTTACTGGCTTGCTCCCCATGACTGGCTCAGCCTGCTTTCTTACAGAACCCAAGCCTACCAGCCAAGGGATGGCATCACCCACCATGAGCTGGGCCCTCCCCCATGGATCACTAATTGAGAAAATGCCTTACAGCTGGATCTCAAGGAGGCATTTCCTCAGCTGAGGCTCCTTCCTCTCTGATGACTCGAGCTTGTGTCAAGTTGATGTACAAAACCAGCCAGTGCTCTTTGACTACGTAAGACCCTAACAACAAAATGCTTAGGAACAGCCGGGCAGGCCATGATGCTCAGTAGCCCTCCTTACAGTTGCGGACCTTGAACTAAGCATTTAGAGGCCCATAGCTGGTCCCAGGCCTCTAACTCGCTGTATGATTCTTTCCCTCACTGGGCACTGTCTTCTGAACCATGAAATGGAGCAGTAAAACAAAGTGCCCTAGCATGGATGGAGACACATGCCTGCCATCCCCAAGGAGGCTGACACAGATCACAAGGTTGAGTCTAGCCTGAGCTACACAGTGGGACCATCTCAACGCTCCCTCACACAGACCAAAGTGATGAGGCCTCCTTAAGATCTGAAGAAAATCAGATCCACCCGAGGCCTCCTGCCTTCTCTCCTCCTTCTCCCTGTAACGCTCTCACCCTTCCTCCTACTCTGGCCCCCACACTTTAACCTGCCCACCCCTCTGCCCAGCTCCATCTCTGCATGGCTCCCTCCAAGGAAGTGCCACCTCCTCCAAGGGGCCCTCCCTGACCTTTTCTCTTAACAGTTTCCTCCTGACCACAGCACTTAGCCACACACAACAGGGCAGCCATGACATTGGCCTTCCACTGACTAGACTAAGGTCTCTTTGCTTCACAGCTTCCAGAAACTACATGGAGCTGGTCAGAGTGGACACCCCATAAGCACAGGAGGACTACAAGGCTGAAACTGCTGTCTGGGCGGGATGAATTGAGAGAAGTCTCTAGAACCCCGTCCCCCATGCCAGCTCTACAGCACATCATCACTAGGCCAGACCCTTCCCACAGCCTGCAAAAGCACAAAGCTCCCCCATAGGGGCACATGCCCCCTGCCCTCCGGGGGTCATGGACCTAAGCCAACCCCAGGCTCCAGGCCTTCCCATGGTCTAACGCCACAGCCAGCGGAGGCGTGGTATGGTCTCTGAGCTCAAGCTTTATCCTGAGCCCTAGCAGGTTTTAATTCCAAGGTTTAAAGCTCCTCTGCCCCTTCCCAGATAAAAGACTGCTCAGCAAGGATGAGACCCTGCTTCCCAGGGGCAGAAAGCCCTGGAAAGCCTGACCCACCACGGAGTGCATGCTCTCTGCCCGCCGAGGCACACAGACACTGCCTCCGCCACTGTTCCAGGCCACTGCCCCACAAGAAAAGCCCATTAATTTAACCTTAATAGGATTTTCAATTCATCACCAGCCTGGGGGAGCAGAGAGAGCTGGGTGGGGGACAGAGTGTATCTGCATGGAGGGGAAGCTTGGCCAGAGACTGGCCTGCATGTGCGACAAGTCTCTGCTTCCTGAAGGCCCTCAGTCTCCTCCAGAGAGAGAAAGTTACTGGAAACTTTTAGAGGATTAAGCCAGGTTGTGCAGGAGCCACAACCAGCTGGCACTTCCAAGCAGGTCCCATGTGGATGGTACTTCAGTTCCGTTCCCAGACGCCAGCTCCACGCAACCCTAGATGAAGTGAGTGACTGGGAGCCCACAGACGTTTCACCCTCTGTGGGATCCATGTCCTGGATTCCTCACTGCTTGTGGAAGCTGAGCATCTCAAGGCTTCAAACCCCAGCCCAATCAGCAGGTCCGTGCCAACCAGCTGCGCGCCTGTTCCAGCCGAGAACATAGTCCAGCAGCTGCGAGTGCCTGTCCTCCGGGCAGATTCCTCCAGGGTCAGGAGATGCCAGACGGGGAGATCATGTCTGTGTCACTCTCTGGTCATGGCTTGGAACGATGCTCCCCTACGGCCTGGAAGTGTGGACCGCCCCAGTGTGGCAAGGAGCCCAGGGTGGGGGATGGGAGGAGATCCATCTCTTGAGCGGTGGACGTGACTCTCTGAGCTGGGAATGGGAGGCACACGGGAGGCCCCACGTCCCCGTTCTGGGCTGCTGCTCCCTTAGCAAGACTCATGAGCAGCCTGGACTCGCACAGGGAGAGAGGACCACAGCCGGAAGTATCCATGGTCCCTGTGTGCAACATTGGTCCCAGGCCCCCTCAGGAGCCCCAGCCATAAAAGCATCTTAGTCCTCAGCACCACGTGGGGCGACGCAGAGAGTGAGTGGGGACGGGAGGAGACAGTAGGAAGATGAGCGGCTTCAGTTGCCCTGCGCCGCAGACCTCAGGTGACCAGAGGACCGTGTCTTTTCCTCAAAGAACCGGTGCAAATGGTGTCCGTCTCATTTAATAGCCTCTTGACGATGTCAGGTGGGCGCCCACACAGGTCCACCCACACAGTGGACACCTTTCACCAAATCAAGGCGGCTGGGTCCAAGGGGCTGTGGGTTCTTGGGCCCAGGAGAGTGCGGTGCGGATGCCAGGGAGGAGGCTGGAGGAAAGGGTGCTCCACCAGTTCCGCCAAGAGTACTTCCGCCAAGAGTACTTCCGCCAAGAGTACTTCCGCCAAGAGTACTTCCGCCAAGAGTACTTCCGCCAAGA